CCTCAGCCTCCCAAAGGCGTGGGATTACAGGCTGAGCCACTGAGCCCGGCTGCCTGTCTCTATTTCTAAGCCCCTTTTTACTCTCTAAACTAATCTGATTGTATCTCACTTTCTTCACTGACACTCTCTTCTAAGATAACTAAGGATCTTACAATCATCACAGTCAGTGGGCACATCTCATTGGACCCACGCAACGCAGCTGACCCCGTTCACTGCATCCTCTATCTCGAAATGTCACATTTCTTGGTTTCCATAAATTCTTTCTTCTGCTTCTTTGTCACTTTCTGGCCAATCCTCAAGCTTTTTAGAGAAATATTATTTTTATTTCCCCCCCAAATTGTTCCTAAGATCACTCCTTCATCTTCTCGTTATCATTTGGCAGTGAGACCTGTGACCATGGCTATGACTCAGAAACGTAGAAGTCTAACCCAAATCTCTCTCTTGAGTTTCAGGCCTTATTTATTTATTTATTTTGAGTTGGAGTTTCACTTCATCGCCCAGGCTGGAGTGCAGTGGCACGCTCACGGCTACCGCAGCCGCGACCTGCTGGGCTTAGGCGATCTTTCTGCCTCAGTCTTCCAAGTAGCTGGAACTACAGGTGCAGGCTACCATGCCTGGCTAATTTTTTTTATTTGGTGTAGAGTCGAGGTCCCCCCAGTTTGCCCAGGCTGGTCTTGAACACCTGGACTAAGACAATCCTCTCTTCTCTGCCTCCCAAATTGCTGGGGTTACAGGCTTGAGCCATCACACCCTGGCCTGATTATTGTTATTATTTTTATTGCCCTTCTCTATCTGGCTTCCAGGCACCTCACACTGACGCTGTCCTCACCTCTCATGTACCATACCTGCTCCACCTCGTCCTATGTTCTCCACCCAGTGACCAAAGCCAGAGCTGAGGTATCATCCTACCTTCATGTCTAATGAAGAGCCTTCAACTCTACCTACTCCATATACAGTGTGTGCAACTCCTCTCCACTATACTCATCACTCACTTTCCTCTTGGTCTTTAGCATCATTTAGGTCTAAGCCATTTACATGCTGTTGCTAGGGTGACCTTTCTGAAGTATATTTGAACACACCACTCTTCTGCTCAGAATCCTTTAGAATAAAACCCATACTCAGCTCTTGTGGTCTGATGGATGTACCTACCTGTCTTCTTTTGCTATTTCCTGCCACACATACCAACATGCTCCCCTAATTCTGAAAGTGCCTTTGCCAACAATGTCATCTTCTCTTTTCTTTCTTTCTTTGAGTCGGAGTCTCACTCTGTCACCCAGGTTGGAGTGCAGTGGCACACTGCTCACGGCCACTGCAGCCTCGACCTCCTGGGCTCAGGTGATCTTTCCGCCTCAGCCTTGAAAGTAGCTGGAACTATAGGCATGTGCCACCACGACCGGCTAATTTTTTGATTTATTGTAGAGATGTGGTCTCTCCACGTGACTCAGGCTGGTCTCGAACCCCTGAGCTCAGGCAATCCTCTTGCCTCTGTCTTCCAAAGTGCTGGCATTACAGGTGTGAGCCACCATGCCCAGCCTCATCTTCTCTTTTCTGACTGGTCAAGACACCCTCCACGGCTTGTCTCAGTTCATGTTTACATTCCCTGCGATTCATTTTACTTCCCCCAGGCAGCTTTAGGTTTGTGGGTCTGTTTATTAAATTATTCCCTCCCCTCATTCCACAAAGGATTTGAGGCAATGTAAAACAGATACACTGAGTAACAGGATAAAATAAATGAGTGCAGCAATAAATTCAAAGGGAGAATAAGCCGGGCTCGGTGGCTCAGCCTATAATCCTGTGCTTTGAGAGGCTGAGGTAAGTGGATTGCCGGAGCCCGCAGGTTCGAAATGCACCCAGGCAACTTGGTGAGACCTCATCTCTACCATAAATAAAAAATTAGCCAGGCATGGTAGCACACTGTAGTTCCAGCTACTTGGAAGGCTGAGGCTGAAGGTCGAGGCTGCAGTGGCCGGGAACGTGCCACTGCACTCCAGTCTGGGTGACAGAGTGAGACTCCAACTCAAAAAACAAAACAAAACAAAAAAACAAAGGGAGAGTAAAGGTGGAAATAGAAATGATATCAGGTATGAGGTTAGGCTTAAACATTATATGATATTAAGTTCTGTAGACATACGCGACACAGAAATACCCTGAAAATTTGCCTAGGGCTTTTTAGATGTCAAACTAAGAGAGAAACTTGACTGCTTTTGAGTTTTACAATGTCTATAAGCAACAAATAAAACATCTCTGTCAGTGCTGAAAACTTAGAGATAATCTACTGTATTAAAAGGGTACCGGACACGGTGGCTCATCCCTATAATCCCAGTACTTTGGGAGGAGATGGCAAGAGGATTGACTGAGCCCAGGGGTTCAAGACCAGCCTGGGTAATTTGGCAAGATCTTGTCTCTACAATAAATTTTAAAAATTAGCCAGGCATGGTGGTGAGCAGTAGTAGTTCCAGGTACTTGGAAGGCTGAGGTGGAAGGATTGCCTAAGCCCATCACATCGAGGCTGCAGTAGCTGTCCATGTGCGACTACACTCCAGCCTGGGCAACGGAGTGAAACTCTGACTCAGAAAAAAATAAAAAAGGTATTTATAAGGGAGATTGGCAAATTTAGAAGTTCCTTCTCTTGTGCTTTCATTGATCCTCAAATATAATAACTATGTAATACTTGTAACTTTTTTTTGTACATTGATTTCCTCAGCTAGGAACCAAATCCTCAGCACTTAGCCCAATGCGTGATATTTTCTGGTTACTCAATGAGGATTTGTTATACACACTAGATAACCAATGTTGACAGTTAATGTAGACAAATATTTTTGTGTGAGTAGATATGCAACAGAAATGTATCATCATTTGTATTCCATCATAAACATAAAGGTTTAACCAACTAGAATAGTCTTTATTAGAATTATAAAACAATACTTAAGGGATACCTACTATGTGCCAGACACCATGTTAAACACATTGCATGTATATCTTCTATGACTTCCAGCCATACCACGGAGCTTATTCCCCATCTCAAAGTTGGAGAAATTGAAAAGCTTAAATTAATTTCCCAAGGGCAGAACACTGGCTCAACATTGGTGCTTGACCCCAGTCCTGTGATTCTCAACCCTTTGCTATGGGTTCATTCTTTGGTGTGTAGTGGATTGATTAATATTTGATTATAACATTTGTGGAAGTGGAAACTTTTTACTGATGGAAAGTCTTTGCCACCGTTTCCTTGTTCTTTAGGTTTTTATACCAGAATATTTTGCGGGAAAGAGCAGCAGCTATCTGGCAAACAAAATGATATGCTATAACATTCATTTTCCATAAAAAATATCAGGAAACATCCAAATAGAAAACGCTTCCATTTTTAGAAATTGGAACCACTGATTTTCCAAAATATGATGCAACTTTGTTCACTATATCCAAGGAAACTTGTTACCATTGTACACAAGGGTTTGCACTATTTTAACCTAGTTAATTTTTGCTGACAAATTGATGGCTACTTCTTACCTGAAAGTTGCCAAAACAGCTTCCTCCTGGGAGAGTCACATAACTCACAAAGGGAGGTCCAGGGGCTGGCAGCGACTCGTAGACCACCACGCCTTCACTGGGGAACGCAGCCCTCTGCTGCTGCTTGCTCTCCCAAAACTCCTGTAACATTGACACAACATTCACTGAAAAAGACAAGGAACATAATCAGTTATTAAGGATGGACATACCCTGGCAAAAACAAATTTTATTTGCAAGCTGGATTCTGTAGTATGGCGGTCCCAGTTTAAGCAGAGTTGAATATGTACATGGTGAAGGTGCTCTCAGTTGTAAAGAAATAAACTTTATTTAAATATATTTAAAGCATGATAAAATACACAGTGTTAATGCAAATGTGTCTATTTCTTTCCTTCCTTCCTTCCTTCCTTCCTTCCTTCCTTCCTTCCTTCCTTCCTTCCTTTCTTTCCTTCTATATAGAGACAGGGTCTCACTATGTTGCTCAGGCTGATCTCAACTTCTGGCCTCAAACCATCCTTCCACCTCAGCCTCCCAAAGTGCTGGGATTACAGGTGTGAGCTCCCATGCTCAGCCTCAAATGTGTATATTTCTTAAAGAGTATGACTAAAGTGGTTTTGGTACCCTAATTATAACAATGTAGCAATATTTCAAATTTATTCTATAAATTATTTTTTTTACTATGAAATTTAAAAATATCATTCTTCCTACTTTGAACATTTGCCTCAGTAGATTTTGTCTAGCGCTTTGTCTATGGTGCTCTTTCCTATTTCTCATGGACTCTTAAACTTACAAAGATTTAAGAGGAGAAAATCAGAAAGAAGAAAACTCTTTCATGCTCTCTCGACCCCAATACAAAGGAGAATAAAAGGCAATTGTGGAATAAACAGGAGACTGAAAAAAGTCATGAGTGAAACTAATAACATCGAGACCTTGTTAAGGACAAGGTCTGTTCGAGATTTCAGAAAACACAATGATGGCTAGAGACATGTGTTTTAGATTAAATGACCTGTGATAGCCTGCAAAAGTTCCAGATCAAATTAGGTTGGTTTGTTTATCCTGTACTGCAAATTAAATCATGGAAATTAACAAGGATAATAGAATTATAGAGTCAAAAGTGACCTTATAGGTCACATAGGCAAAGCTCTGACTAACACAGGAATTCCTCTGCCAGCCCTCCCAACAGCTGCTCATCTACCCTGTACCTGAACATGTGGAATGACTTGGTACTTGCCACATCCTGAGACAGCCCATTTCAATGGCTAGTGGCTCTGTAAAAAGGTCCTTTTTGGAGTAAGCTGAAATCTGCTTTCTGTAAGTTTCGTGCAGAAGGTCTACGTCTCTTTTCTGGAGCCTCACAGACGTTTATTTCCTTATCCACATGAAAGCCTAGTATATATTTGAGAGTGGTGAGGATATCTGTTGCTTCTGCCAACCTTGCATTTGCTGTCCTTCTTGTGGGAAATGCCCAAAAGTTTTCCTTGAAGAACCTTGCAGCTTTTGCAGGGTGGAGGTGAGGATTTGGTCAAAGTCAAGCCATTTAGAGGCAATGAGTCCAGGACTTTGGTTGAAATTTTTGGAAGTTTCCTTTTCTTCAGTAGGGTTTATGGAGGGATAGAATGTAAGCATGGCACTGTCCAAGCAAGAAGGAAGGTGGTAGAGAAGAACGTCAACACAAAGAAGGATAGAGCCAAGAGATGGAGAATGAAAGACTAAGTTTTGATGACGTAGTTTGAGCTCCTGGTTTCAGCTATGCCCAAATACGAGATCCTTGATTGGACTTGGAGTTATCTGAATTAACACATTTGCTTTTTCCTTAGCCATTTTGAACTGGCATTGCTTGTATGCATATAAAAGCATAGTAATAGACAACTTTCATGATTCTTCAAGTTCTAGATGAAATAGTTCTTGTTCTTTCAAACATTCTTTGTGTAACATGGTATCTATACCCTTTGTCATTATAATGAATACATTCTTGGATGTGCTTCAAAATGCTGGTCATTGGTGTTTTTCAGAGACTTAACAGTGTCACAGAGTTTGAGCTGAAGGAAAAACATTGTACAATCGCCTTCTAAAGTTTCCTAGAGCACTGGGTTCCCGCACCTCCTCCCTAGGTACTGACATGTGGTGTGTGGTTCAGGCAAATCCTAGAGACTCCTAAGGAATTGGATGTTTGTGTTTATTTAAAAGCTTCAGTGTTTAGTATTTTCTTTTTAGAGACAAGGTCTCGCCAAGTTGCCCAGGCTGGTCTCGAACCCCTGAGCTCAGGCAATAATCTCACCTCAACCTCCCAAAGTGCAGGATTACAAGCTTGAGCCACCACACCTGGCCTTCAGTGTTTAGTCTTTAAGGTGTATTTTGGGAAAGAAATTGGGAAATGTAAGGCTAACAGAGGGGATACTGGAATTAATCAATAAAATACATGTTGAAGTAGTCAAGTTGATAATTGTTCATTACAGAGCTTTTTAATCCATTCAAAAATACAGAAGGTGTCAGAAAATGTATACATATTTTAAGAAAGGAAACAAAAACTATTATAACAAGTTAAGTTTGACTTCTGCAAGTATAAGAGGCGCTCAAAGTGGTTACCCTCAGACACTCCTGATAACAGTAAACTAAAAGTAATACATAGGTAATAGTTCTTAAAATGTGTATACATTTGTTTCAGCACCCCTGGTATTTGAAGTAACATTTTCTATCAGTTGATGTAACTCAATAGAATTAGAACTTTAATTTTCTAAACTGTTTTTCTGTCCCCCATCTTCCTCTTCTCCCTCCCATCCCTGAGGAAACAAGGATTGATGAACTGGTTGATTTGTGTCTCTTCTTGCAGTTGACTTCCAGAATTCAGCAGCAATGTTCTGAAGATTGAAGCCTGAAACTAAGCCCAGTGACCTATTGCTCTGCTAGTCAACAAGGACCATTAACCTCCTATTTTAAGCTAGTAGATTGATGAATGATGTTCTGCTGAGAACTGGAGTAGGAAGTTGAGGACTTTATCTAGGCAAAATGAACACAAGAATCTTGGCACATAAAGTTATTTGGATTAAAGAGTTTGGAGATGTGCACTAAGTTAAGATTTCTGCATGAATAAAAGTGGCAGTTTTCAAGCTTTTCCATTCTGCAGTCTTGGAGAATTTCTTTGATGGTCCTGCAGATGTCGTCTCCCCTAAAGAGTACAACATACATATATACATGCACACACACAATCTATCTCCATCAACTCTTGTCGACTGGAAAGCCAGATGAATGGAGTGCAGAGGGAGGAAGGCCACTTTGCTGTTTGGAATTCCAAAGATGGCTATACCAGAGGATGCTCTGTTTATGAAACACTTGCCCTTTTATTTATTTATTTACTTTTCAGGCAGCATCAACAAGTTTTGTGGATAATTTGAAAGAAAATATGAGCAGAGGGTCAAGAAATGCTGAAGAAAACCACTCAAGTTTGAGAATAGGGCTCATCACACAGTTTGTCCCTAGTGCAGCTCCACCGTCAGTGCCCAGTCAGTGATCCTGCCTTCTCTGTTACAGAATCAACTTGAGTTGCCAAGTGTGCAACATCCATGCCTACATCCAGGGACCTATCTGTTGATGCTGCCTGAAAAGTAAATAAATAAATAAAGTGCCCAGGTTCACCTTACTTCCTACAGCCTCAAATAAATGTGTGCAGCTTTTTTCTGGGCATTGTTCTCTTACTAAGTCCCATGAACTAGTATTCATATTATTTGAGACAGGGTCTTCCTCTGTCACTCAGGATGGAGTGCAGTGGCGTGAACATAGTCCACTTCACCTTGAACTCCTGGGTTCAAGCAATCCTCCTGCCTCAGCCTCTTGGGTAGCTGGAACTACAGGTGTGCACCACCACACCTGACTAGTTAACATTTGCGGTTGTTGTTTTTGTAGAGACAGGGTCTTGCTACGTTGTCCAGGCTGGTCTCAAATACATGGCCTCAAGTGATCCTCCCACCTTGGCCTCCCAAAGTACTGGCATTACAGGTGTGAACCATGATCTATTTTTAAATGTTTCCTCTCTACTCACACCCTCCCAGTAACTATAAGTGTGCCAAAACAATAAACAAATAAATAAATAAAATTTTAAAAGTGAAACACTTAACATTGGCACTTTTTTTGACTGCTAGTTACTAAAATTTTCTCATAATAGTTAAGCCACTAGAAAGATTAGTCTATATTAACTATCTCTGTTTCCTTATCTTCCATTTATTTTTAACCCACCACAATCGGCATTTCCTCTGCATTATTCCACTGAAGGTACTCCAACATGTATCATCAGTTCCTAATTTTCAGCCCTTATTTACTTGACCTCTTTGCTGCATTGGACACAGCTGCTCAATTTCTTCTAGAAATTCTCATCTTCCTAGGCTTTTCTGGCAGTGTGTCTTCTTGATTCTGCTTCTCTTTTTATAATAATTTCCCCTAGGTCTCCTTCTTCTCACTCCTCATGTTGGTTTGCATGAGAGACATGTCTTATTCTTTTGCTTCTCTCTTGACTATTCTTGACTGACAGAACCTGTCTCCATGACTATATTGACCATAATTTACAGGACAGCTCTCAAACTGTTCTCCTGAGCCTTTAACTTCATTATTAGACACTTCCATTGGGATGTTGCACAAACTCAACATATTTTCAAACTCAATTCATTTTTTTCCCTATAAGTGCTTCTCTTCCTCCTGAGTCACTAGGAAAATGATGTTATCATTTATCCTTTCACCTAAATCAGAAACCTGGCAGGAACCTTAAACTCTTTCTGTACCTGATAAGTGCCCAAGTTTTGCCAGTTCCGTATCCTGATGTCTCCCACAGGTATGGCTTTCTCTATGTCCTGCATTGGTTCATACTCATCCAGTCTCACCAAGCATCCCACAAAACCCTCCTGACTCCAGTCAGTCTCCCATCCCATCCTTCCTACCACTGTTTCCTGGGTAATCTTTCTGAATTTCATTGCTGAGCAAATCACTCACAACTTGAACTGTAGGTCCCTCATTATACATGGAATAAATGACTCCTTGGCAAGGCATAGAAGGTCCTGCTTACAATTCTCTCTCTCATCCTGAACTCTCTTCCCTTGCACCCCCATTCATGCCCAGGCTCCTCACATTCTGTGCTTCTAATACTGCTTGCAAGCCCTGGGCTTCCATTCATCCTTCTGGA